GTGCTCTTCCGATCTTTGCAAACTTCTGTGCTGTATGGGTAGAGGACTTTTTTGTTCAGTTTGGTCCACACTATCTGCCCACAAGCGCTGTACCATTGAGTACGAGACACTCTGCATATGCTTTACGCTGAAGTTGTTTAACAATTACCACCGACGAGCGATACTCTTAAAGACCGACACCCTTACGGGAGTTAGCGTGGCAGTTTAGTAATTGCTAAAATTTAAGCAATTAGTCAATAATATAACATTAATTTTATGATTTATTAATAGATGAATATTTTTTAAACGTGTACATTGTAATTCATATGTATTATATCTTGTTAATAGTTAATTTTATTTAAAACTGCATTTTTATATAGTTACTATTCGCGTTTGATTATTCAAAGAGATGGTAAAACAGTTGGAAAAAAATGTATTTTTGTGGCAATATATATATGATATTATAGCATTATAAGTATTCATACTTATTTATAAAGTATTTGTATAATAAAAATCATGATCTTAATAATGTGTATTATTCAAATAAATTGCAAATTTATGTCAAAAGTCGATAACATTGACACTCTGCAATTACCTCCGGGCCCACCGGGCCCATTTGCTGATACGACGATTTGTCCAGGGCTGTCGGTCTTTAAAAGTATCTCGTCGGTGGCACGGAACACAATTGTGTTCCGAGAGATTGTGTTCCAAGATATTCGTTGACTGTTGGGCTGCGTTCCGTTTGGCGCTTACAGCTGATTACAGCGCTCACAAAATTATATCATCCTTGTTGTTTATCAAATGTTAAACAAAGACAAATGATGCTTATAAGCGCTGTAAGCGCCAAGAGGAACGCAGCCTTAGTCGTCTATAAGTTGGCATTCAGTTAAATTTTAAAGTTGACTTTAGATTTCTTCTGCCGACTAACAGTCGACTTGGTGCTGTTGGGAACCGCTAAATCATGGATATAGCACGGATCACCACCAAAAAAAAAAATTCGTGGACATTGGCTACGTAGTTCAACGTCGTTCTGTGGGCATAGAGGCGCTAAAACCAGCTCAATCGCCGGTCGCCCGTCGCAGCAGGCTGTCGCATCACTCGCAGCTAAATCGCGGGGCGGGCATGGCCGCTCTCAGGATCCTCTCTAGTCTCTGTTTCTACTCAATTCTAGATTTTTCTAACGATAGTCACGATGCATGAATATCTAGACGCGCTCAGTAGTGGCAACTTCAAACAGTTCAGACCGCTACACGCCGATCACGCGTAGAGGCGTAAACGCCGTAAACAACGCCAACTGTACCTTACGAGGGACACGCGACGTTACAACAGTGGTTCGTCGGCGCGGCGAGACACGGCGAGGTGGTAGAGACGATCGAGAAATCGAGTGTTCTTTCAAATCACCTTCGTAATCAAATAACGGCGATTATTGGGTGATTAAATAGCGAGCAAGGTGTGCAAAAGCACACGAATGTGGGAGTAGTCCCTAATCGAGTTTACGGACGCAACGTAGTCGCATCGGAAGCGCGTGAGGGGGCGAAGTTTGATCGATTGTTTGTTTATCGCGAGGTACATACATTAACACATTTTCTGTAACGCGTACATACTCGTTCCTTGGTTCTGCGTCATTCGACGTAAATTTGACCTAAATAAACAAAAACGTGATATTTTTTCTAAACCACGTTAAAAATCTGCATCTAAGAAAAAATAAAATTAAAATTATGATCACGTTGCGAGAGTACCTATAGCTTTTCCGTAGCTACGAAACGCGCAGTTTTCGTCTGCTTCGAAGTATGGATCCGGAAATCGGGAACTTCGAGATACGATTTGTTAAGATTAAGTAGACTCTTTTCAGGCGAATCTCGCCGTTTTTGTTCCTCGAGAGGCCTCGGCATTGTTGTTACGCAGCTGCTGAACGATCGTCGAAGCACGATGGAGAAGCCAGTCTCATCCGACATAGTCATCATAGCGGGCAATTCTCACCCGGAGCTCGCCAACCTTATTGCAAAGTGAGTGGCAAACAATAGAACGTGGGAATGCGAAATTATAAATGTGAAAGCCGATGCTTATTTTGACGCATTATTTTGATTGTTTTGTAAAGATGATACATCAACAATAGAGTTTTCAACAATTTTAGCGTTATGTTACTAACAAAGAGCAACTTCAAAATTTTTTAGTTATGAAATTTTTCAAACTCAATCCCTGTAAATTGATCTATTTTTTTTTTTTTTTTTTAATTATTTACAAACAAAAGGAAACA